GTGATAATTGCAGTGATATGGGGTGGTAAGGCGAGGTGATTGAGTGATGGCTTGCCTCAGCGTGGTGAGACTGAACTGTGTGTTTTCATCATCATGGCGAGCTCAAGCTGTCATCCATGCGCGTTGGAGCTGCAGAGCATTGAAAGTCAGCCGGCTACACTTCGGAGATTTCGGGCTGCTTCCGGTGGTGGCTTGTCAGGTGAGTTTCAGTTTCTATCTTAAACACTTCTCATCGATGTTATGGGGCCATTCCGCTTCAAATAATCAACATAACGTTTTTTTTTGCTTGTTTGGCTAGCAATTGAGGAGTTTGACATTTCCTTTCGACTACTGTCTACTTCAAGGTCACAGGATAATAGGATGGCCAGCCAGGCCGCTGGCGTTTCTCGATTTCTCATCGATGAAATTCATGAGTGGTGCACGAACGCTTGGCTCCCAAAGAAAAGCAAAAAACGCTAGAAGGTGATATGCATTTATTGTGACGACCCGACCTTACCCAAGGTCATCAGCTGGTGGGCAACAACTGAGTGCGTGAAACACGGCACTACATGCCCGCCACGTGACTATCTCCGCCCGGTTCCTGCCCCTTGAAGGGATAAGGTTGAGATTGAACAAGGGACAAAACATTGTCCTGGCTTGAAGACCAACTACCGCTGCTCGAAGTCTAGCTTTGGGCTAAAGCCCATATAAAGACCGCCTATAACTTAACCTAGTTACTAACTTCGCCTAGTGGCCCTCCCGCCACCTGGGTGTCATGCGGCCTCATGCTATCCCTAGCCGGCGCGGTGGCTGCCCCATCCCTGGCTGAGGCCCACACTTATACCCCGCCCCGTCCTGCCCACACTGTTCCCACCTGGTGGTTGTCCTCGCTCAGTGCAGTGCTTCATGCCTCTCCCGTCACGTGCTCTGGTGGATCCAGAAAGGCGGTCTTGGACGCCGCGGGGATTTTCCCCAAATGCCCCCTGGATCCGCCAGTGGTCGCGTGCAGTGCAGTGCCTCATCCTCATGCCTGTCCTGCCCCTAGCTGAGGCCCTCACTAACCCCGCCCTGTTCCTCTCCTCCCCTCCCCGCCCGGGTCCTACCGTCCTACCCTCGACTCCTCTTGTTCTCTCTGTGATGGATGACCCGGCGGCGGATGAGCGCTATGACGCGGCTATCCTCCCGCCCGCAGGGCTCTCGATACAGCCACCGAGCTCCAGCCGCGCCTCCAACGCTCGTAAATCACGAGTTTGAACGCTCGGTGCGTGCCCCGCAGCTGGCTCGAGGGGCGTCCCCGGCGGCGGCGGCGGCGCACGGAGGCGGGCGCGGGCACGCTGATTTCAATCACCCCTTTGGACCCGGTGCATGGGGGGGGGGGGGAGGGGCGGCCGGCGGCTGTAGCCTGTAGCGGTTCCTGAGGTGAGGTCAGTCCGCCAAACTGTTGATATTTGGTTGGAGTCGTTGAGCGGAGCTGGTTTGTCGCCTCATCTTTTATGTTAGCCTGTTGAGTGTTGGTGTAATGGGGATGCGGTTGACAGCGTTATGGAATGGTTCACTGTTCAGGTTTGGATGAAAAGGGACGTGATTTCGGGTTGGCAGTGTCAATGCAAAAAGCAGTCGCACAGGCAAGTAAAGCTATTTAGTTGACCTGGTGAAACTCAGATTATTTGATTGTATCCAATTGAGCGCTACTCAAAGATACAAAATATAAAGATACAAAAAGATACAAATATACTCGAAACTTTGGAGTCGATATATTTTTATAATGGAATAACAGTTACACAAGTTCACTCCAAACTGTAAGTATCAAGAGATGCGGCGGTGACGCATGTAAGCCCCCTACCACGCGCAGCCGCTCTGCCCGTCCCGTCGTCCGCTCTGCCAGGACAATGGGGCGGGGCGCGCGGTGGGGGGCCTCGCGGGATGGCCCCCGGACCAGTGATCCCTCTCCCCTCCCCTGCCTGCCCTCAGGGCACAGAGCACCGGGACGCCTCAATGCACCAATCAGCAGAAGGGTTGATTAATCTAACAGAGTTGGATGGCTGTCGGTTCGGCGGGGATTTGCACTGAACGCCAGTCGTTGTACTGGGGTCAGGGGCAGGGTCACTGGAGAAGGGAGGGGTTGGGGTTAGGCAATGGGGCAAAAGGTGCCCTGGGGGCATTTGGTTAGTGCGGATTATGATAGGAGAGGGACGATGATTGAAATTTATGTGGGGTGTAGATTACCTTTACGATCATCGTGGTGATCTTATTTTGATACGTGATAATTGCAATACCTATCAGCATTTGTCTGGATATATTTTTTGCATATTTTTTATTGCTGCTCGTGAAGTTTATGGTACTGTGTTGTAAATATAAAGGTAAAGGCAATAATGAAAACACTAGACCCAACCTAATAAATCAGTTGTTACTTATTGAATCTCGACTCTTTCAGCATTGCGCAGATACGCCGAATGTTTTGATCAATAATGGCACAAACTCTTGTTCATTCGTGCATCCTAAGAGACTGGGAGTAGTAGCCGTGTGATTGGAAGAAGAGGAAGAAGTTAAAGTTAAACGCTCGCATTTAACAACCGAACTCGTAAGGGGTTTGGTGCGTTGTGAGCTATTTTCAACATTGTGCATTTTGGAGGGTTAAAACGTAGGATACCGTTTGGCGTTCATGCTCTTTCAAAATGAGGCAAATGTGCATTATACCTACCTATACGAAAACACTAATGATACTGGACGTAACGATGCGAAACTCTAAACTACATAGTCTTGAAAAAGTTTTTGGAACTCCAACGAGAAAACCATGTGCCCTAGTCCGAACTCTCCCGGTCATTTAAATTCATCTGCACTATTATCCCAGCTCACAAAACGCTAAATCCCAGCTTTTCCCATGCCACCCTTTCCCATAATGAGCGTAATCCATGCATCCCCGTTCTCTTCTGTACGGACCCCACAGAAGTGGGACGACACCGGATAGGCGATTCGTTCCGTTTTACATAACAATTACACGGGTCTCGTGCTCTCGCCGCCGCCGCCGCTACCGCCGCGCCGCTCCGCCGCTACTGGCACCGGCGCAAGCGACGCCCGCGCGCGGTAACCCTTCCACGAATCATGTTCCCCCATTTTTCTCGTGTTCGCCCCAGTGCGGCGGTGTGGGACGGGGAGGGGGGAGCGACGCCGGCGGGGAAAATTATCGGCCCGTCATTTTGTCACAATATTGATTGGAGCGCGCGGTGCCGCCGCCAGGGGGAGGGGGGGGGGGAGGGTGACACCTGCCCGCCCCGTCTGGGATTTGATGGACAGTTTAGTCGTGGTCTGCAATTTAGCACTGCCGCCGCCGACGCTGGTGTGGTTCGAGGTGTCAGCGTATCATGGCGTGTGTCAGTTGTGTCATGGCATATATATGTAAGTTGTGTCATGGTGTATGTCGGTTGTGTCCAATGGCGTGTGTCATTTTGTCGTTACAGTTCCTGATTTAGCTGTACTCAAATGAGAGCTATTTGAAGTTCATGTTCTTTTCTTGACCAGTTGAAGCTGGCCTTGCATTTTTTCTCATTCTAAATGTTATAAGATGCCCAGCTTAGAAAGAAAATGTTTCGACATTTGACTCCAATGAATTGCTCGAAGCAGGTCAGAGCTCGGTTCAAGCCGCTTCAGCTCTTTTACCTTTTACAGTGTCATCCCTTGACAACAGTCGCTCATCGTTCGACCTACGCTACCATCACTCATCGCCCCACCTGGCAATGTCACGCCTAAATTCAAACCCGCTAAAAACCGCCACGGCCGCATCCTTCTATCCCACCGCGTGGTAGACGCGATGAGAGGGCATGACACAACGAAGCTCCGCCGCGGAAGGGTTAAACCAGCGACAGCTGCGCCAGGCGACGCCACGCGAATTGTTCTCTTCACAGAGATAAGCACCGTGAATTGTGATTCACGTGAAAGATAAACCGTCGTGAATTATTCACGCCGGAGATAAAGCGACGTATACTGTCGGTAGCGAGTGAGATTACTGCAGTCAGCTGTCGAAGGGAGAGCCGACACAAAACGGCACGTGATTAGCTACCACGATGTTCAAGTGTTGAAAAACACTTTAGACTCGGTTGGTCTGATGTTTTAGACACTGTGGAAAAGGGTTGGAAAGTGGTGGCCGGGCGACGGATGGGATGGTTTTCTGGTGGCAGCGATGGAGTCTATTCAGGCTGGGGGCTATGAAGTGTATGTCATACAGGAGGCAGATGTGTGTCCATTCTGCTGCTATTGCTGTGAGCCGCTGCGCTAGGCAGCCGGCGTGTTTGTTCACTGTATGTAGATTATTATTGGTGATAACAGCAAATACTAGGGAACCTTACTAGGGAAGAGCTTGTAGAAGAATACGGGTGAAATGGCAGATCCTATAATATATATCTCTAACAGAACGTTATTGTTACAAAACTCCACAACAGATTCCTATTATAGTCCCATTGCGCAGGTCTACGGAAACTCTATTCCTATGAATCGTGATTTTACCATTCACCATAATCGGGCATGACCACACCTAAACAATACTCATGTTTCAAATCACCGTTGTATTGAAAACAAAATGCATACTGCTATATATAAAATAAACACTTGCACGATTTGTGTTGTTTTGATTGTGCGAAGCCTTTGAGATGCACAATTGCTTGGCAAGAGTACCCACACATAGAAAATACGCATCTAATCTTCATTGTATGTAGAGCATGATAAAACGATGCTTTCTTTCATTTGCGGTTAAACCGCCCTTCTTAACTCCCCTGATTGTCAACGCAGGTGTTTACGCCGTCTAAGATTTTCAGTGACTGCATATTTTCTGGATATTTATCGAACGGAAATCAACGCATAGGAACTTCAAATAAAAGCAAACACGTGTGAACTTCTCACATTCATCTGAAAAGTGGCATGACATAGTGTCACTCTCTGTGAGGTTATAAAACAGACCCTTTCTACTATCCAGTATCCAGCTCCTAAACCCGATAAAAACGTATAAAAACTAACAACCCTCTTCGGTTTACAACAAAAAATAATTGACTAAATTGGCAAGACTGCTTCCTTTAACGGCTCAAGGCATATGACGCGCTCGAATGTTGACTCTCAGCCCCAGACAAGACACTTTGCAGACACCACGTGACAATCACAACATGAACCCACACCCATAGTCCGGCTGAAGGTGCCCATCGCCCGCATAGCACGTGGTAGGCATCAGCGAGTGGGCGTGGCCACCATCAAACACAGCCTGATGATTGGCTGACCGTCCAAAATCCATCGCCGCCGGCCATGACCCGAAACCGCCCGCGGCGGTCACGTGACCCGCATACGCCGCGGGTGTCGGAGGCTCGTAGCACGGGTACAGGACGTTCTGTGGGGAGTAGCTGGGCTCTGTTTTCACTGGGACCGGCGTGGCCGGACCTCCAAACATTCCAGTATCCGACATCAGTGCTGCCGGCTGGGCACTCACGGTGTTTCCATCCCGTCCCAGGCGCACGGTCACGTTACCCACCGCAAGCAGCACACTGCCATCCGCGTCACGGACTCCCCCTCCGGCGCCACCGTCATCACCGCCACCACCGCCGGCCGATTCCAGAGTACGAGCTAGAGCCACGATATAACTGTTGGCGAAGCGAAGGGTCTCAATCTTCGTCAGACGTGTCTCCTCAGGAAAGGCGGGCAGCACGGTGCGAAGCTTCTCCAGCGCGTGGTTCAGCATGTGCATGCGGTTGCGCTCGCGGTCGTTCGCCTTGGCACGCCTCAGCCGGCGTAGTCGGACAAGCTGGGTGGGACTGCGGGCGCGCGTGCGGGGTTTGGAAGACCGCTTCCTTCGCGGGATGTCCGGACTGCCACCGTCGCCGGCTGAGGAGCACGAGTCTGTCGTGGTGATGGAGGGTGGAAGTGATGTCATCTGGAACAGAGAAAAATGATGTCAGGGTTCAGCTTATTTAAACGTTTGGTGTTGGACAAACAGCTTTGCATTCTGATATGCTAAGATATTAAGCTTGGATTTTGATATTTGGACCGAGCATTAATTATACCCATTTAGTGATCGTGGAACCTATCACTTTTCACAGCCGTCAGTCGTATGAGAAAGGGAAGTTTATCTTCGTAGCTGAATCAGGAAAGGCTCTTGAATTTTGAACAGCATATAGCTATCACAAATTCGCCCATTCATCAAAACACATCAGCTCATGAAGACAACTAGTTGTTGAGATTTAATTAGGGCGATTCGGCCTACCGGGCTGTCAGTATGTATAATAAAGAAAGCATGTTTTGGGCTTCTAAAGCGCTATAACATTTTCTAAATTCAGCCATCTTTCCAAGCTTGCCTATGAGGCCGCCCCACACCGGACCTCGCAGGCGGGTTGCGAGTTTGCGGGTTTTGAGTTTACGGGCATAATACTCATTCATAGAGTGATTAGACCGTTCCCTTATGGTAACTTCATGGATGCAGTGAAGCCGGTACACCTTCAGAAAATTACATATAGTCGCAAAACCAGCACAACGAACCTAAATTCGACTTCAACGAAAAACCCGCAAACCTCGCAGAACTCGCAGACCTCGCAGCGAGGAAAATCGAAAGCTGACTCAAAATCAACTTTTGTAATGCGATGCAAGGTGGCTCGCAAGCTAAAAACATGCAGATTCGCTTGTTCGATGGTAGTGTGGGTCACTCAGCATATATTGTACTATTTAATTTTGAAGAAACCCGAAAACCCAAAAACTCGCAACCCGCATGCGAGGTCCGGTGTGGGGCGGCCTGGGAGGCATGGGAGCAAGTCTAGTGAAGCCGCCGAACTACGAGCACCGATGTATAGATGCACGGTTACATTGTGTTCCTGGGCTCCTGATTTCTTGTAACAGGGTGCCGCGACATAACCCTATGACTGCATTCCTTAGCTCTCCCTTTTCATCGACCAATCGCCCAGAAGCTAAAAACTCTCAACAGCGGATCATCTAATTTACAGCAGGAATCCGACTTGCTCAGTGTTTCGAGACGTGACAAAAGCCTTCAGCCCCAAAACGCTGCGTCACTTACGATAGTAGGTCTACATCATGTCGAGAGCCGATGTTTTTCGAGCTCGCTAATTCAGGGACACCGTTGTGCATGACCCCATGGAGCCAGAATCGGGTAGCGATCACCTTCATACGGCCACCGGGCCACGAAACAGGGGCGGATCCAGGAATTTTCGGGAGGGGGGGCGGCAAGTCGAAATAGGGGCGACCTGGCAATCCGGGGGCGCTCCATACAAAGGGGGCGCCAAACCGTCAAAATCGGGAGCTAAAAGCCCGCGCCGTGCTAGGGGGCGTTATCGCGCTCCCCCTCAGGTTTTTCGCAAATATCTGAAAAACGGCTGCGCGCAGCGCCGCCATTTTCAGCATACCTTATCATGCATCTTTTTTGCACATGTTGTAAAAATGTCTGACGCGGGTGATGGAAGGTCAGGTCACCAGGTTATGCCAGGTGACCTAGCCTAAGAAAAAGTTCAAATGTTTACCATTGCTAATTGCTATACCGCTTTGAACCTTTCAGCGATTGATGAAAGCAACACTATTCATGAAATGTATATCTCGGAATTTCGATATCTGTGACCTAAGGTCAGGGCAGTTGTGCGACGTCTCCATTAGGTAGGTAGGTATAATTAAGTCTTTGGGAGAAAACTGAAAGGCATCTCTTTTGGACGAGCGCCATTCTAGACAATATCAAGCATTGTGATACATATAAAATTAACACACTGAAATAAGAACATTGCACCTAGTGTGACCACTCATTATGTCCCAGAGGTCATCCCATGTCATGAAAGGCCGCAGCAGTTTTTTTTTTAAATAACTTTTGATAGATTCAAGCTAGAGCGATAAAAACACCTCAGCTGTGTTCAGCTCGACGATACGCATCGACTGCTATGCAGCATGACCTTTCCCGGTCAGGTCATGACCTTGACCTGAGGTCAAATTCTCAAAATTACCCTTCATAAGGTCAACCTTTAGTTTGTTCGACGTGTCTCGACGACAGAAACGCAATGCTGGCAAACGTAATGTCGAGGCTCTCTTGAGTCAAAAGTTATTGCAGGAAAACATTGTTCGTAAAAAGGCTATTTTTAGAGTCTTTTGCCCTCTGAAGGCTAAACCGTTGACCTGAGGTCAAATCTGAGCGCAGCTTGCAGAAACACCTTTAAAAGGGCTATCGAATGCGCTTTTCTGCGGCGCTATAGCTCTATTGGTTTCCGAGTTATGTGCCGCTGCTTCGGAAACGGAAAAATGTTGAAACAGGCAACATGTTACCTTTGATGACCTCTGGTGACCTGACATTCGACCTGACCTAAAAAATGACCGTTTTGTTTTCGTCCTGTTTTTGACGATCTTTCGAATGCCGCTTATCGCGTGTCACTACGCGGCCCAGGAGCCGAGTTAGACAAGGGAGTGTGCCCCCCTCCCCAGCAGGACACGGAAAACTCAGACCACCGGCACGGCACGGGCTAAAAGTCGTAGATGGGCACCGCTACCCTAGCAAAAGATATTAGCAAAAAGGTGACCTCCATTTACTGGTGCAGTCCTCCTTCTCCCGGTGATGCCCCCTCCTTTTTCTGGAAGCGTCTCACTTATGCTAGTATGCCTCACTTCCCGGGGGCGCCCAACCTCTGCTTGGATCGCCTAATCCATTATGGAGAGACCCACTTTGCTTAAGTCGCCTCATTTCTTCCTTCTAAGAACGACCAATTTGCTGTAGGCGGCCCACTTATCTGGGACGCCCATCTTCTGCTAGAAGTGCCCATCTTCTTCCTGATGCGTCCCACTTCTATTACGAGTGCTCCTTTTCTGTTAGGGCGCCCCTTTGCTGCTGAGGAGTCTTTTCTACTGTGAATAGGGCGGCCCTCTCCTGTTTGGCGACCCCAATTTCTGCTGGAGGCGCCCCACTTCTGCCCAACTTTTAGTGGGGTGCCCCTCTCTTGCAGGGGCACTTCTCTTTTGCTGGAGACGCCACTCTTGTGGGGGCGCCCTTCCACTGCGGGGAACGTCTCTCTTCTGCCAGAGGCACCCCTTTTCTTCTTATGGGGCTCCTGTTTTTTTTTTCTGGGGCGAGGCGACCCTCTGCTGCTCGGAACGGGGCACACCTCTCCTTTTACTGGGGCACCGCCCCTCTGCTGGGGTTGCCCTTCCGCTGTCGTCAGGGGCGCCCCTCTTGGTAGAATATACTCCTTTTCTTTTTGTAATGGGGCGCCCCGGTGCGAGCGACTTTAGCGAGTGTCATTTGAGCGAACGTCATTTGAGCGAACCATTTTCAGCGACTGGCAGCTTAGCGAATATCAAATTGAGCGATTATCAAATATAGCGATTACCAATTTAAGCGAAAGCTATGTTTCAGCGACATCTTTTTCGTCGACTACAGCTTGAGCGACTGTCATTTCAGCGAAGCACTTCATCGTCCCGCAACGGTGTATTTTTTATTTCTTTATTTTGCGAACGTACGTACAACGTATGTTTCCGGAACTTTCATGGTTATCCGGAACTGGATGGCGGATGTCACGTTCAAAGTTCAGACATTAAGCTCCAAATTTAATGCCACATTTCTCAAAAATTCCAGCGGTTCGATTTCACCCCCCCCCCCTGCTGTTTGCCAAAAATGCTGACCAAACGTATGTTCAGAGATTCATATTGCTTGTGCTGTTTTTCGCGAAATTCCCCCGCTTGAATTTGGATCAGTTCCCCATGTTGTACAATTTGTTCTTGCCCCAAGCAACGTACGAATTTCCAGATATTTGGGTGAGGTCCCTGAAACATAGACTAGATCCCCCTGTGCCGTCCCTCGAGTTTATTATTGGTCCTTGGCATTCCTTCCATCGTCCTATCACGTTCCACATTTCCAGATCAAGGTTGCAGAATGAGGCCAGATATTTTTGTGGTTTCCATTCTTAAAAGCAAATTTTTAATTTGCCGCGCGCAGCTTGAAGCATGACACATACCAAGCGGGTATTCCAAGGGCAAGAATTTCCGAAAAGTAGCAAATGATTGACTTCCGTCGCGTTCGGTTTCGCTGTAACTGTGTTCGCTCAATTGGTCCCCCATTGACCTCCACATATTCGCTCAATCTGGTTTCGCTGATTCTGGTCCTCGCTTAAGTTGATAATCGCTGTGATTGAATTCGCCGACTTGACAATCGCTGAAAGAGTCAATCGCTGAAATTGATAATCGCTGAAAAGGCTTCGCTCAAATGTCGTTCGCTGAAATGACGCTCGCTCAGGTGTCGCAGAACCGGGGCGCCCCTCTTCTACCGGGGGGCGCCCATCTGCTGCTGGGGCGTCTGTCTTCTGCCGGATATTGTCAATGGGGCGCCCATATCCTGTTTGGCGGGCCCAACCTTTGCTGGAGGCTGCCTATTTCTGATTAACTTTGGCTGTGGCGCCTCTCTTCTGCTGGGGCGCCCCTCTTCTGCCAGTGGCACCCATTTTCTTATTATGGGGCTCCTTTTTTGCTGGGGCGCCCAGCTGCTGTCAGGGCGCCCCTCTTCTCGGAATGGGGGCGCCTCTCTCCTTTTGCTGGGGCGTCGCTCCTCTTCAGGGCGACACGTCTCCTGCTAAGGGTGCCCTTCGGCTGCCAGGGGCGCCCCTCTTGAACAGAAGGTATTTTATATTCTTGTAACGAGACGCCCTCTTCTGCTGGGGGCGCCCATCTGCTGCTGGGGCGACTCTCATCTGCTGGGAATAGGCAATTGGGCGTCACTCTCTTGCTTGGTGAGCCCAACTTCTGCTGGAGGCGCCCTATTTCTGCTTAACATTTGCTGTTTCGCCGCTCTTCTGCTCGGGGCGCCCTCTCTGCCGCGGGATATGGGCGCCTTTTTCGGATGGCGGGGGGGGGGGGGGGCGGCCGCCCCCGTCGCCCCCCCCCCTGGATCCGCGCCTGCCACGAAAAGGCTGTCCGAGCGATCGCCGCTTTGGATAAACCTTACGAAACCAGGCGAACGAAGACCGAATTGGCAGATATCTCCGCCGGGGCGAGGCCAGACATCACAACATTTTGCACCACCGTCTCTTTTTCAGTGTCAGCAGCTGCTTTTCGCTGACTTTGGCTGCCTTTCACTGTTTTCCGGCAGCTTTTTTTGACACCACTGCACGCTCCAATCACGAGCGTGGCGCCTTCGTTAGTAAAGAGTCGTGAATGGTTTATGGTATCGTGGCGGTGTATCATCGTCGGTGGTCGTGTGTGTCGTGACTGGAACCGTGTTGAACGAGACGTGTCCCGGCCACCACGCCCCGAGCTTCAGCAGATATCGGAGACAAAACAGGAGTTCAGCAGCAGTGCAGCAGAAGCACGGGACCAGGTATACGGACATGGGACATTTCGGACATCGGACAGCCATTACCAATGCCACCCGAGCGCCCCTATAACTAAAATGCAACTAAAATGAAGGATGCCATGTGCAATGTTATGGAAAATTTGCCAGCCTTACTTCGGCTTGAGGACTCAGCTGTTTTTTTTCGATCGTGAAAGTGGATAAGCAATAAAGCTCTGTGGATTCATTCATTGTCCTTTTATTCGTAAACCGTATCCAATGTCATTTGTCCATTCCTTCAAATAGCATTTTGTGATATAGCTTGAGCGCTATTTGAGAGGTAATATGGTAATGGTGGTAATGAGTGATGATCATCTTCATAAGACTTAAACTTACTCCGCAACAAAGCCTACCTATCAAAACTCATTCATTTTATTTTCATAGTGCTTATACGAAAATCATGAAAGGACGAATATTCGAATGAATGGCATATATTCGTCTGTGATCAAGTGATATACATTTTTAAGCACGATATAATCTAATAACCAGTAAAACGCCTTTTGGGCGAAGAACGAGCGAGCGAGATAGTGAGCCCTGCACGTGCGCAAGGGCGAGAGGGTACTTCCAACGGGCTTGTGCAAAGCACCCTTCAAACCGGTCGCTAGCGGTGTGCCAAATATGTACGCGATCGGCCCAGCCGTTCCTGATATCTGGAAGCTGCATTCTGCACGTGCGCACGTGCAAACGGGGTCCAAACTGACTTTTGCACGGCACCCTACTAACTGGTCCCCAACCGTGTACCAAATTTGAGAGCAATCGGCCCAGCCGTTCTCGAGATCTGGAAGCGCCCCCTGCACGTGCGCACGTGCAGTAGCACCTTAACCGCAGCACATGGGAATGCATTGCCTGGTGGGTGCCTACCTGCATGTCAAGTTTCAGCGAAATCGCCCCAGTAATTACCGAGTTATTGAAATGGGAGCAACTTTGGCACCTCTCCTTTTTGCATTTTGCACGTGCAGTGGGGGTCACTCACATAGATCAACAGTACCCGACCTTTGGTAGAAGGGATGCAGCTACCCTACAAAAATTACCGCAAGACAATCGCCCAAGCGGCTGCTGAGATATGACTTATGAGCCTCTCAAAATCACTACTTTTGCAAAACAGCTTGAACACCCTTGACTTTTTACGTGGCACGTGCCACGACGGTCACTGTGATATATCAAAAGTAGTCAATTACGGGGTAGAAGGGATGGGGCTACCCAGCAAAAAAGACCCCAGGCCAATCGGTCCAGCGGCTGCTGAGATATAAGCCTCTGAAAAGCGTTACAGGCCAGGCCGGGCCGGGCCGCTCATTCTGAGATTTTTCCGTTATAATGAAAAGACTTCGCTTCGCTCGCTGCGCTCGCTCGCTCGTAATAAGTTGTGACTTTTGCTGTTAACCAGTACAACAGCGCCTCAGTCGCTAACCTGCTCCCGACGGAGGGAGGAATGGAAAACGAAAGAAACTTCATACAATCATTGAGTGAAAAGTTATTCAAATATAGCATGTTATGTCTACTTTGACGCTGTTTTATATTTGGTGCCTGGTGGTGGCCAATCCATTGGTGTGAGGCCAAATCTGAAAACGGGTTAACCAACGAGCATTTAAAATGAAGCTTTGGAACGTGTTTCCGAGACATGACTAGGTTTCCTTGTTGGTACACTAATTCTGCGACGTTTTTATTTTACGCCTAATTCGGGAAAATGTGACCTTTGATGATCTTTGGTGATTTGGTAGGCTCTAGCCCGAACCTAAAGCGACCAAAATATTTTCCCATTTCTTGTTGACTTCTCGGATGCGACCTAGGTTTGCCGGTGCCGGCCAGCAACCAAGTTACAGCAGGCTTGTTCAGGCGCCGTTTTCCTAACTGGACGTGGGAATCCAGAAGCTACAAGCGGGTCCGGTTAGACAGTGCTAAGATGTTCGTAAATACACACTACAAACATCCCACGGCACCAACCATTGCCCAAGCAGCAAACAACTCAGCTGTCCAGAGACTGAGAATCGCTGGTTAGAAAAGGTTTCAATGCCGCTTTTCTTATTGAATTCGTTTTTTTACGTGGGCCTCCTGACACGATCTCATCTCAATAGCGTTGAACAAAAAAAAAAAAAGACTAAAAGCTCTCTCATGGTCTGGTGACAACTGAGGTCGACTTGTTTTAGACAATCAGTCTATGTCCGAGTGACACCGTCTATAGAGCAACAATAGAAACGTTAGAAAATCAAAATAGGTACCTCGTAAAAGGCGTCTTGACTTCCCAGGTGAAAGAGTACTGAGCCTGATAGGCGATAGCGTCGATACAAAAGATTCCAATTAATCTGTTTGCCAGCTACTTTTATCGTCTGACATATTGTTTTCGAACTATTTTATAATCAAACGTTAGGAACAATTCAAAATGTGCACCATTTACGAAGCCAAAACGCGACTGTTATAAACGTTCCTGTTTAATCCGTTTTTGAAGCTGATTTTATCCTATGTTATGAAAAGCTATCACTTCTGTGCGATGTCACTTATGTATAAAAAATCGTAAAAACGACATTTTTTGTCGTCTCAGGTCCAGTAAGACCACCTCCAACTCGTGGGAATATGCACTTAAAGCCAACTAACACACCACACTCACGTGTGTCATAATGCTGAGCGATGGCGTTCACTCGGTTTGCTCCTAACTTACGATAATTCTCTAGCTAGATGGCAGGCCTGATCCCAATGTTAATTTCCACGAGACACCAATCCAGTGTTATCTCATCCATGGTAAAAAGCATCACGTTTCAACAAATTCAAACAATCGAAAAAAGTCTCTTACTGTTAGCAACTTTTCAGTCCACCACATCACCCACCGACAGGCGTGAAGGCGTGAAAACGATTGCAATCTGAATCAAGTTCACACCTTTTCAACAGTCACTCACCTCACCGAGATCCTCACCGTCCCTGTACACAGCTCCACCACACCCGCCAATCCACAAACTACGGTCCCACGCCGCGTCCCACGCGTCTCCATCCGTGCCCCATCCGCTCCATCCCCAGTTCACAAACCGCTCGGCCAATCAGCGCGCAGCATCCTTCCGGCGTGGCCAATGCTGGTCGCTGATTGGCTGGCGCTGGAGATAAACGTGCCGCTTTGCTTTGAAGTGCCGCCGAGGTGGTGTGCCGTGCGGAATGATTGCTGGGTCTCATGGGAAAATGTTTTAACCCCAACTGAGCACGTGAAATCAGTGATTGTCAGTGAAGTTATCCGGTGGCGTAAATGCGCTGCCGCCGTACCCTTTAGCTTACACCAAGGGAAGCGCCAACCGTACCTAAGGCCTAGCCCTCCTAACACACAGTTCACACCCTAGTTGACTCACGGAATAAACACTAAAATGGGCATTCCTAAAAATATGTATCGGTCATTGCGCCTTGCAGTTTGGGAAAAATGAGCCGAAACTCCAACAGACAAATAAACGCGACTCTCAAGAAATGTTGGACCGTTCTGTAATCTGTATCCTACATTACCCCCACCCAACCAATACCAAAGACGTATTTTGAACGAATGACGAGCCGGAGCGGAACAGTGTTCGTGATAACTGATCTGAGATCTCAAAATAAATAACTAGAAAATAAACTCTGGTAAGGGTCACACTTATAACTGGCCACTGACGTGCTATAGATGTGAGCGCAATCGCTCTTGACATGAACGGCCTCTGCACGTGAGCACAATGCACAATCTACCGGCCCGCAGTTGTCGAGGGCTAATTTTGAGCGGAACATGCTTGGAAGTTGAAACTGCTGATTCGTCCGATGTGGTATGTGCCGTGACTGCCACCCAAAGGCATCCAGAGAAGCTCAAATAATGTTTGAAGGGATGGGACTATTTGGTCTAAGCGCAGCGATTGTCGATCGGTTGAGCGGTTGCTGAGCTGATAAGGGTCACCCTGCTAACACCTGTCACCTAAAATAGTGGACAACTTTAAATATGTCATAGCTCAGACGCTTCTATTTATGCTCTTCTACTCTTCAACTTCTGTTTATAGTTTGCCTGTAAATATGCTCAATCATATATCGTGTATATTATGCTCGATTTTTACCACCGAAAACACATTTTGTTGGCAGGCAGTTGTGACAGAACGCAGAGGCCACAAGAGACTGACTGAGGCGGTAGCACCGAGGAGATCAGCCAACCACCACACCGCCGAATGGACCTGTTGCCTTGAAGCTGATTGGATCCGCTAAAAGGCTAGTCCCGAGGCCATCTCGGGTTATTCTGTATATTTGTATGCCCACTTCATTGAATTCTGGGTTGGAGGTATTCTCAGCATTTCCAGAATTATCTACATACCTATGTTTTTATGGAACATAAGACACATTTATGCATATCATTAGCCGTATTTTCTTAGAAATTTTCACGCATCATTAGCCATATCATAGGCGGGGGAATGGGGGGGGGGGCACCAGGACACGTGTCCCCCTTTGATTTTGGCATTTTACCATTAGCCCTATCGGTGTTGCATGGAAAAAATGGGACCAAAAGTCGCCAGTGCCGCCACCCCTCCTCCTAACCCGCGCCATGATGGGGTCTGCCGAGCAACGCGGTCTGATGGGGGGCCATTTTGCCCCCCCCCCTAAGATCTCGAGAACCACGCAACATAGCGACAAGCGGCAAACGGCGTTGAATAGCCCCAACGGGGAACTACCTTGTGACCCAATTTCATTGACCTAGGTCAAACCTATGACGTCACAGGTCAGGTCAAAGGTAGAACTTTCACCGTTTACAGGCATTTCAAGAAATGCGTTGTAAAATCGAGTAAAATGTATTTCATTGCAAATCATCGATGGGGAAATGTTCGTCAAACACATATTTTGCTATTTGAGGTCACTGATACCAGGTCAGGTCACAGAGGTCAGGTCACTGAGGGTCACAAATTAAAAATATCATCTGATGCATGTTTTATGGTCCATTTTATATGCCAAATGCGATTATGCGGGACAAGCAGCCCTTGGGGGTCAGTTCAGATTATGTTTTGGTGAAGGTCAGGTCAAAGTCAGGTCAAGGTCAGGTCAAATTAGGTCAAATTTCAAAGTTGATATTTTTGCATAAATGGGTATCGATTCGATGCAGCTTGTCACGGGTGGGGGGAGTTCAATGGTGGTCTCTGTTTTGCGATACGTGGTCTAGAATTGCAAAAAAATTGAGTTAAAAAATTTGACGTCATCAATTTTTAACAGTTTTTTTCGCTATAACTTGGCCAAAAAAAGAGGTTTCGATCTGAAATTTGGTATGTATATCGAAGAGCGAAGGGACTATCACATATATTCCGTTTTTTTCGAAATTCGAAAGCAAAATGTTTGGGAATTTTTTGAGTTTTTCTAAAAAATCATGTTTTTATTTTTGGGGGTTAAAAACCCAAAATTTCACAAATCCCAGATAGCAGTTTTGTAGCGCCGTCTTTTTCTACACAACCACATAAAGAACTTTAAAATTGCTTGTTAACTGTAGAATTGGTGAGCGTTCAAGATGTCATGTTTTTTGCTCATTTTTACTCGAACATGACCTCAGTTTGACCTCAATAACTCCTGACCCGAGGTGACCTGTGACTTGAAATTTTGTGTGAAGGTGTCAAATTGATGCCCGGTAAGGTACTCAAAATTTGGCGGCGCTGCGCGCCGCCATTTTCTCGCTATTAAAGAAAAACCGCAGGGGGGGGGCAAAATGGCCCCCCCATCATCAAGGCGCGGGTTAATTGAAGGTGTTCCGCCACCACTGAGCTATATTTTCATAGAAAGTCAGCTTAGAGTTAGGTAGATACATTACAGTTTACACCGTACCGGATCATTCCAGCAAAGTGCAAACATCAGCCGATTCTGGCTTGCGTCAATCGAGCTATTCTGGTAATAAGATTGCTTCATTTGAGTCAGAAACAAGCGGAGCAGTCAGTATGAATGACTTTCTTGTTCTTCTCCAATGTCGCGCATTTGCATCCAACCCACGTTCGAGTGATGTAGACACATCAGTTTTGATCATTTTCCCTGCTGGGCCTAGCCTCACTGGGAGTAATTTTCTTCACACTTCACACAGAGCTGAGAGATTGTCTGAAACATCTTCACAACCCCCGAGTTTAAAAATTTTGGCCAGTGCAGTGGTCTGTTTTGGATTGGACGCAAGGAGTTCAACATGCGCTGCTTTTGTCGAAACACATCAGCCGATATGTCCGTTGACCGTCTCCGAACAAGATCGGCTCATTGGCAGTTATTTAGCAACGTTTAAATAATTACGCGCACTTTTTAATGTGCCATGTAACTATAGCTGTCCTTGACAAAAGTATTCTGCTGCAGAATATCAACCATTTTCCAGATATGAAAGGAGTTCTTATACAGGTTAAACTGCAGAGGTCAAAAGACTATTACACATTTTATACATATTACATAAGTAGGTATATTTAATGTACAAATGCTCAGCATTGAGTGATCAGCTATCCTAAAAAACAACGCAATGGACGGAATATAGCCATTTCATAAATACAAAATAGTAGTAGGCAATCAGTTGTCATCTTCAAATATCGACTCCTCGATTCATTCATAAACATGTTTCGACTCATTGAAAACATGGAGCAGGTAAAGGTCAGACGACATATTACACTGATGCTTTGATGCACTGAATATCTGGCGACACGAACACGAGTCAAGTAGTGCATGGCAGAAGATGGTAAACCATGTACACAAGGTCCATCTGTTAACATAATTACGAGTACGCATCAACGCACTATTATCTCGTTCATTGGGACGTGGATTGGGGCACTTGGATTGCTACTGGCTTTGGTACGCCAGTCGCGCCTTTTCTGCAAGAACTGTCACTCTGGCGAAGAAAATAATACATACAAAATAACAAGCACCGGTCCGTGTATGACATGCGATAAAGCGGCTCACCAGCTACCACGACTTTGTAACCTATAGTAGTTCATCACATCGAAGTTTGCAGTTGGACGGAAGACTATGCCATATTCGTGGATATTGTCCACATCTCAACAGAAGAAGTCTAACCATACTCGCTGTCTCAAGGTCACATTGACACACTCGTAGTAACAGCGTCAGAATTCTGTTCTCTGACACACTGATGGCTGGAGCATCTCAGAGCATCTCTCCTCAGTGCCCGCCTTCCTTCGTTAAATGGTCGTCCGACTTCTCTTCTCACATTTTACTAAAATATCGCTGTCACTGTTAATCGTTGCGCTTGTTTGCGTCCATAGCATCGCAAGGCACTCTTTCCTTTGACATTTCTTTCTACATCAGGAATGTCTGCTTCTATTCAGACTACTCCTGGTTTCTATGCTGGCACGGTGCTGTAGTGTGCACCATCTATCGATCCTGGCGAGAAGCCGTAGTTCCCCTCGCCGACAACAGATGGCTGTCGTGAACCGGGTGGCAGTGGGGTGGCCACCACTGGTGTCGGAATAGTGACCTCCTGGATAGTGAGTTTCCGCTGCCGCCTCCGCCGGTCCCGCTTGTACCTGAGGGGGTCATAAGGAGGGGTTAGTGCTACCTTAGGAGTCACGAGCTCAACAGCAGAGAGCTGTTGCATCAGGGGACATGAGTAGGACAGGTAGACAATCAGTTGTAGGGTCACCATAATTTTCCAAAGAACTTAACACAAGACATCCAGTAAAGCTGAGCCTTCGTGGCCTTACGGGGACAGAAGCAGAGTGACCAAGGGGGTGTGACCAGTTCCTGCTTGTCCTCCACATTCGAAGCACCCAGCTCCCCCTCCGTCCTTCGCTCTAACTACCCGTCCCATGTGTGCTGTGTCATTGTAAGTAGGACCCATTCCAGTTCCCATTTCATACCTTTCCCATTCCTAGTACCCACTTCCTCCCAGTCCCTGGTTCCCAGTACCTACCTGTGCCAGTGTACTGACAGCACGATGAGCGCTATGAGGGTGCCCACGACAATGAACACTCCGATAGCCAGCACGAGCGCCTCAACCACGGAGAACTGATACCCGGAGCCGCCCGGCTGCTGTACACACGG